AAAAAAGAAGAAGCAGACAGAATGAGAGTCAGAGAAGAAGAAGAAAAGGATAGGGGGAGAAACCGAGAGGAGAGAGGAGAGGAAGAAAACGTAGCAAACAACAATTCAATTCATTCATCAACTGCCTTTCAATCCCAATTACAATAACATAAATAACAAAATAATAATTTGGGCTTGGGCCAAACCCATATACAAGACCAATGAGACATAAACCCAAAATAAGTAACTAAAAGACATAAGTCCAAAATAAATAACTAAAAGATAAAATGGGGATGATGTCCGCATCACATTGTCTTTTAAAAGAAACCCTCAAAGGCACCGGAGGTTATGCGAAATGGTATTTCATTCCCATTGATCAAAGGAGTTCTTTTGATATAATTGTATCTTCGTACAGGTCACAAAGAATTCAAAAAGTTGTAACCTCGCAGTAGATATATGGAGCCTAGGGTGCACGGTTTTGGAGATGGCCACCACAAAATCACCCTGCAGTCAGTGTGAAGGGGTTAGTTAATTATCTACTGATCTTTGAAGATCATGTAATCTCTTGTAAATAATTACTATATTTTTTGTAAAATTATTTGTCTCTTGTTTCTCGTGGAAGCTTAATATATTATGCTCTTCGCTGAAGGTTGCTGTGATGTTCAAGGTCATGAACAGCAAGGAATTGCCTCATATCCCAGATTACCTCTCAAATGAGGGCAAGGATTTTGTGAGACAATGTTTGCAATGCAATCCCACACACCGTCCTATAGCTGCTCAGCTCATGGAACATCCTTTCATTAAAAATACTCCATCGGGAAGATCCAATATGAGATCTGAATCAATGGAAGCCATAACTGCAGCACCACATACCATAAAATCCCTGGTATTTAAGATTTTTCTGTATAGTGTGTGTAATAGTAGTGCTTCTCTAATTTGACATGAGGCATGAGGTTTATGGACTTGCTATTTTCAGGGCTTTGGACCTCTCAGAAATCTACCATGCTGGCCTCATCAGAAGGGGCTGTCCATCAAACCAGAAAACCAGAACATTTTCCTGGATTTAGGTCTCTATCTATCTATAGATTTATCTACCAAACATGAAAGCACCCACTTGCATGTGAACGCGTTTATTTTAATACATTCTCATTTATAGCGACGTGCATTTGTGTGTGCATGCATGCATGAGGATATATTCAACATGTGTGATGGTTAGATGTTGCTTATAACTTTATATGCTCCTTACTTCTATTGCTCAGAATATTTGTGATGTGGATATCGATTCTATATTTGTGGTACGCAAATCAAATGTCATTTTTTCAATCTTTCAATGCTAAAGTTTTGTATCCGTGGACTGAAGATCTACTTCTGAATCTTTCATGATATATTTGATCACTTGCAAGGGATTGTCACTAGTTATAAGTCACGAGGCTCTGCATAGTGCTGAATTGTTGATCTCCTCATTTTTTACTTCCTTTATATAGTATAGATGATATGCTTCTTTTATTGATGTATACCTTGTTAGTTTTGTTTGCATCTTAGTTATCTAATTTGCGTGATGGAGATTTTCTTTATTGCAACACGACCAAAGTCACTCTTATTTTCTTTTTTTAAGAATTGATGCCTATATTCAAAGTAACATTTCTTGCCCAAATTCTCCTTGCATTCAAGACCACAACAGCATACAAACGAAAGAATGTCCCTTTCTCCCATATAAAGATCTGAAGCTGCATCCAGTTCTTCTACGCCTTGTAGTGGTGGCAATGACGCTTTTCCATTATTTCACTCAGAGCAGCCAACAAATTATTTGCCTGAATCGATGAGCGTGATAGTAGGCCTTAAAAAACCTAACATATTTCGAGGACTTGTTCAAGTCCATCTGTCACCTGAAGGAGTTTCATCTGAAAATGGCTTTCTTGGAGATGAAGTTGAAAGGTCAGGTGGCATTCGTGACCAAAAAGAACAATCATATGATGCAAATTTTATGTTGGTGAATAGAGTGTCAAAGCAACTGTTGATCAATCCTTTGAGATTGAACCCGATTAATGACCTAAATCCGAACTCCCCAGTGCACGGTCGCAACAACGAAGTTTAGAGTGCTATACTCTTCTGATTTTGTTCATGATATTGAGATATTATTCCTCCAGGTAAACTTTGGACTGAAGCTTTTGTACAGATGATATGATCAAGTTGTTGGGTAGTATTGAGCTTCTTTCACTCCAAAAGCTAGTTTAAGAGGTGAGACATTCCCTCACATTTATACACTGAATACCAACTCCAGCCACAATCGATGTAGGACAATCTCAAAAATCTCCTCCTCACATCTCGGGCTTTGCGGGAAACCAAACACATCTACCCGTACACATGGAGTCCTATGGGAGATCAAACCCGTCTCCCCTCACACAAAGGGCCTACGGGAGATCAAACCCGTCTCCCCCTCACATAAACCCGTATCTCTGTGATCGTTGAATTGGAGACTCGTTGATAAACCGGGCTCTAATACCAGTGTTGGGTGGTATTGGGTCTTTCTTACCCCAAAAGCCAGTTTATGAGGTGAGGTTTTCCCTCATACTTATAAACTGAATATCAATCACATCCACAATGGATGTGGGACAACCTCAACACAAGTAGTATACAAAAATCTTGATTCGGAGATAGATTGAGAAAATTCAAGCAAATTTAGTAAAATCTTATAGTTTGATAGGCTGTCCAGAAAATTTTGGAAGCTCAAATTTTCTATATCAATTATAATGCAATATGTCTTCTATTCAATTTTATTTGTTCTGTTGTGAAGAAATTTTGAATAAGCTAGCATTCAGTCTTGATTCACCTAAAAAAATTCCTTCTATTATTGTCACATAAATCAATTATATAGAATTCTAGAAGCACTTCATTTAATCATAAAGTCGTTGAAGCGTTAATCTTACAGAACCTGCTGAATGAATAACTGAGATGCTTTCTAATGGAACAAGCCATTCAACCAAGACACTTAAAAGAAAAAGCTGAAAACTTGAAGGAGAAGAGAATGACGATTAAATGAAGTAAGATATGCCACCATGCACAGGTGGACATTTGTTTTTCAAATTCAATATTTCTTACCAAATATTAATATAACGTAATATCAACTATGTCGAGCAAACCAAAATATAATTATACTCGTCAGAAAGAACAATAACTTGAATATCAAATTCAAACTTTTGACTGTCGATAAAAATCGAAAATGGTATGAAAATTATTTTGACAAAATTTGAATAGAACAATCTTGACTTGGTTCTCTTACACATCAACAGTTGAAAGTTTTTATTCTATCTACCGGGAGAAGGAAATGAATTTCAAATATGCTAAATCGCGCTTGAAAAATTGTAGTACTTTATAAATTATAGTTTGCTTGATTTCCAATGCGAGACATTTATATTTTCCAACATATGGTATCAATTCACGTGGTAATATACCACTATTATTTTTCAATACAATGATTAATTACACCATACCTAAAAATATCCGTTAATGTTGGCCAATAAATTGGCTTAATAATTTCATTTGCCTTAGCTCTGAGAATGGAATGGTTCATTCAACACATCATACGCAGGAAAAAGATAGATAGTTGTTCATTCATAAGATCCAACAAAGCTTAAATACATAGCCCTCATAATTTACACACAATTCAGAACATAAACAGAGAGGAGAATTAGACAGAATAAAGAGAAACAAAGTCGAAAGGTGGTAGGTTAAGATAGTGATTTAACAGGCCTGGCTGCTCTTGAAAGGAATGGCTCTGATCACAATCTGGTGGTAAATAGCAGCAAGAGCAGCTCCAATGAAGGGTCCGACCCAGAAGATCCACTGGACGACGTAAAGAAACAATGGTTTTAGTTGAAAATGTACTACTGATTAATAATTACGAGAGTTATAAAGGATCTGCATAGAGAGATTCTTACATGGTCGTCCCATGCGTTATCTCTGTTGTAAATAATGGCAGCTCCAAGACTCCTGGCAGGGTTGATGCTGGTTCCAGTGATGGGGATGGTGGCCAGATGAACCAAAAATACTGCAAACCCAATGGGGAGAGGAGCCAAAAGCTGAAACATAAAAGAATTTTAGAACTACTACATGAATTCTCTTATCAAAATCAAGAAGCTAATCGTCATGAGCTTTTGTTGTTTCTCCGAATCATTATGTACAATCACACAATTATATTACCAAGAATCGTAGTCTACATTAATGTCCATGTGATAACAATAAAATTTGAGACTTCGACCAAATCAATAGCTCAATTAATTGATGGTGTTATGTGCCTATGGTGCTAAAAGACCAATTGGAGCTGCCAACATTCCCTATGATGAGAATAAAACCACTTAATGCAACTGCTTCACAACTCTTTCTTCTCAAAAGATAGAATGAGAATAAATATTTTAAGTTGTGGGTTCCATGTGACAGCTAAAAAGCCACATTACCCAAAAGCACATCAAAATTATCAAAACTGCACATCATCCTAACCCCATCTTCCACCCCTGCTTAACGACAGGCAATAGATTTATAAACCAACAAATAAGCTGAATGCATCATCAAAGCAAAACAGAAAATTTTGCGTGGGGCGATACTTTGGAAAGACAAACCTTGTGCTATGATACATGACATTCAGTATAGGGTCAGTTTTGGTCTAAACGGAATTTCAGTAACTAAAGATATTGGCCCATATCATGTCAAGATTGCATTGAATGAACTGAGGCTAAATAAGCAAAATTGCTCAACATCTAAAAGCATGTTTGGAAAGTTGTTTATAAGATGGTTTAAATTATAAATAGGTAGAAATGAGTCGCGTTGGAGTGGGCAGTACTTGTGGTTGTGGGTCCTTAGAAATGTGTGGACATAAAGTGAATTGAGCGTTTCTAAACAGTTTATAAATATAAACCAAATATTAGCGAAATGAAATCAGAGAAATGTAGCATTCCAGCTACACAAAACATAATAAAATTATCGATTCTTCCTTTCTTGGGTATGAACGCTTAATTAGAAGTAACAAAAAACAAATCAAGGCACCAAATCCAGCCTTTCCAAACAAGTTTAAGCAACCAAAAGTTAATATCAGTGCATAACCGACAAAGGAAGACCTACTGGAACATGCGAGTCTCTGGCGTTTCTCTTGGCATCAGTGGCAGAGAAGACAGTGTAAACAAGAATAAAAGTGCCAACAATCTCAGCACCAAGGCCATCACCCTTGGTGTAGCCATGCTGCACAACGTTGGCCCCACCTTGTAGCCTCTGGTATGGACCCTCCATGAATCCCTTGACAACACCAGCACCACAGATTGCACCAAGGCACTGCATCACTATGTAGAAGATAGCTCTGGTCAAGGAAAGCTTCCTTGCCAAGAACAAACCGAAGGTCACAGCAGGGTTGATGTGCCCTCCTGTTCAACGGCCAATACAGAAAATCAGTTTTGAAGCTACATATAATAGACAATGGTCTAAGAGGGGTTAGGGTGCGGGTACCCTAAGCCATAGCATATAATCTAAAACTGGAGTTTCCTGAAAAAATCACCAAGATCCTAGCTTTTATCGCAAATAATATCTAAATGGATCAATTAAAAACTTATTTAACAAGATCCAGTAACAATAATTCATAATCAATCTGGCAAAACGAAACCCCAGAAACCCATAAAAACAAAGGAAATACACAATTTTGCCAAGACTCACAGTAAAAGAAACAAACAGAAACATGCAAAGAAAAAACAAGATTAAGTGAGATTAAAAAAACAAAAATAAACTAACCTGAAATCCCAGCAGTGCAGTATACAAGTGCAAAAATCATGCCACCAAAGGACCAAGCAATCCCCTGGATGCCCACAGAGGCACACTTACTATTTGATCTACCAACCCCCATGACAGTCAAAATGGTAATGTACAAGAACAAGAAGGTAGCCACAAACTCTGCAATACCAGCCCTGTAAAAAGACCATGATTTAATCTCCCCAGGCTCAAACAAAGGGGCTGGAGGTGGCTCCTTGTAGTCCTTGTCTGTTTGAGCAGCTGTACCCAAAGGCTGCTTCTCAGTAAACTTGTTGGCTCCAAGCCTAACATCCTCTTCCCTGTTTTCTGCCATTAATTCTTTATTTACTTTGCTCTTTCTCTGAAGCTCGAGAATGGTTTGTAGGGGGTGGGTTGGGAGAGTATTTTATAGTTGAGATTCTTGTTAAGTCTTTTTTTCTTTAGGTTAAAAATTAAAGAATTCTTCTTTATTAAACTTTTTGAAACATCTGTCACCATAATCATTGGTTTCATTTATTTAATTAAATTGTTAAATTAATCAAGTCTTACTTGTTAATTGCTTAATTAAATTTCAACTTCTGGGAGTGAGAGAAGGAGTGTTAGAGAGAGTACAAAGGGATATTTGAGGGAATCATGCTACACTAATATAATGGTTAACATAATTCTTGACATAATATCACATGACATCATATCATTGAATTGTTTAAAATACAGTCAATTTTTCCATCCAATCATAGCTTGCTAATCCTCAATCCTATCGAAACATCTGTCAATATTTTTCTATCAAAGTGGCTTTATCCGTTTATAGTGTCACCCACCATTAATTATTCTGTGCGCTTTCATTAGCTGGTTTGGACCTTTTTAATTAACCTCTTAGATGTATTTGATACATGTAATCTTCGATCAATGAAGAATAATTGTAAAGTTTAAATTTGTGCCTTGAATCCTACCAATTGCGGATTGGAAGTGATTTATGCATTGATTATGCCTGTTCAATAAGTACTTTGTCCATTTTTAAATATAACAATCTCATAGTTTCATTATTTAAAAAGATTTATTTAATGCCTTAAAAGTACTTATTTCCTCTTTTCTTCATAATGCAGAAGAACTGAACAATGATAATATTACGGAAAATTCTACTTGTACATAATTATTGTACATAATAGTGTACATAATATGATGTGACAATCATTCAGTTATTGATGTGCACGTGTGAGATTTGAATTAAAGGTTGGATCCAGTGTCACGTGTAATTGTGGATACTATTATGTAGACAATTATGTATATGTAGCACTTCCCATGATATTATTATCATCTACAACGAAGTTATTAACTTTTAATTATGACTAAAAACTATCAGATGTGAAATAAAGCATTTAACAACCATTTTTAAGCATTAAGAACCATCTTCTTAGATAACTTTTCCTTTAGCTAAAAAAAATAAATTATATTCATCATTATCCAAAATAAGGTAAAAAGTCATTTTTTTTGGTGTTAGGTAACGAAGGGTTACTGTTTCACCACTTTTCCTCATTCTTTGCTGGAAAAGAAAGAAAGATCATAGAAAGGGCTCAAAGGTGAAGTTCATCTTTCCTAGGGGAAAATGACTGCCACAAAATAAAACATATATTTTATGTTTTAGAACTACGTTACATGTACACTCTTTGTGTATACTTTTCCTTACACTCGACCACA